CCAATGCCACTATTCACTAGCTGTTAATAGGTACCAGGGACTTAGGCAAATGTTGTAGGATTGCATCCTGGGAAAGGTCAGTAATATGACCTAAGGGGGAACCTCAATACAAGCTTAATGTATGTATTGCATATATACACTAGCTTCCTGTCCCCAACAGTGAGAATTAAACATTTGGGCAGGTCATGGAAAACTATTTTGAGACATACCCAATATGAGTCATTTTTTATTTTGGTTAACCATTTTCATCCAGAAATTAGAAACTATTTTTTTTTTTTTTACAATTAAAAATTTTTCATACTTAGTTTTATTGAATATATTTTTTTTTACATTAAATTTTTGTTACCATTCAAATGAAGAACAGTACTTATAACTTTTTATCTCTTCACTGCTGACTAATTAAATGACCTCAGAATGTTTATTAGTCTGATTACTATTTACTTTGTTTACATTTTGACATATAATACACCTATTTGCCTGGCTCGGATATTTGTGCTAACTTCATCAGTTATATTTAACTGCAGAAGTTTCCTGTCACATTTTCTATTACCTAATGCACCTGTCCACCTAGCAGTAAATAGGTACCCAGAAGTTAGTCAGTTTGTTGAGGGATTACATCATGGTGAGGGTCAGTTAATTAATAAGACTCTTGGGGGGTGGGGGGGGAGGGGACCTCGATATAAGCCCATCATGTACTGTATGTATAAACTGGCTGCATTGTACCCCATCACAATGAATTATAAAATAATAATTATATTACCCTTGGTGGCAGTTTTATTATTCAGAATAAAAACTTGACAAAATCCCAGTCCCAGACAGCACTTTGCTCCCTTACTGAAATCTTTGAACTCAATTCTCTGCACACACTCAAGTGTTTTCTATATCTATAAAACTCTGCATTGCAATACCAATCATGACCTTAAGTACTTCCTAGAATGCTGTAATAGGACTCAGGGTCACTACACAAGAAACAAATATCTCTGTTAAATATAACTGATGAAGTTGGCATGATACATGTATAAATATCTGAGCCAGGCAAATAGGCATACAGTATTGATATTCCTAAAGTAAGACACTACCAAAGAAAAAATGCTATGTAAATCAAAAGTCCCAAATTGTGAAAACACTTCCCAAATGTCATTAACTCATTTAAATAATTATTTAATAAGAATAATGTACTTTCTACATTTAATGTCATCTAATTTCTTGCATTTCTTTGATAAAGTGTTCATTCATGTACTTTGTTCCTTGTTTAATTTTAGTGTTGGCCCCATTAAACTTAAATTATACTTATTACTCATGTTATATGTTACAAATGAATGTAATGAGAAAAAGTATACCAGTACTTGCTTTTTTACTTTACATTTTAGTATTTCCATTGATTTTTAATGCAATTGAACTCTACTCTTGCTAGAACTACTGACTATTATGTAATAGTCTATGCCTGTCATTTTTAATTACTGTATCTCCTTTTTTTGTATTCATCTGTTATTTTCCTTGAACGTTCTCATTTTGTTAGCTTAGTTCTCTTTTAGAATTAAGTGTTTTACCCCTCACACCCTTAAATTCTTTTTTTCCAATTTTTTTTGTAGTTTTGCATGAAATGCTTTGTGTAATAGTGGCTTCTTTAGTACTGTATGTGTAACTCCTGTTCCTACAATTGTACATTACTCCTATGTTCTTTATACACACATTCTTTTCAATAATGTCTGTTTTTATTATTATGGTTATTATTATTATTATTCATATCCATTATGATCATTGTTTATTCTTAAATGTTGGCCCCAATAATCTTAACTTTTTCTATATTACTCTATGTTTTGTTATGTTCCAAGAAAATGTTACGAGATAGTCCAGCTGCTTTTCTAAATTACACCATTCTGTTATTAATGTAATTAACTACTGTACTGTTGCTAGTACTACTAACTCCATAATGTAACAGTCAATGTCTGTCAATCTTAAGTATCACATTTTATTTTTTTGTATATGGTATTTTCTTTATACGTTCTCATTTTGTTAGCTTAATTCTCTTATAGTATTAAGTGTTTTACCCCCTCACACCTTAAGGTAATTTTTTTCTATACTGTATTACAGTATTTTGTTTTTTCCAAAAGGCTTTGCATAATAGTGGCTTTATTAGTATGTGTAACTCCTGTCCCTACAATTGTACATTATGCTTATGTTCTTTGTACTGCATTCTTTTGAATAAAAATAATTATTATTACAGTATTTAATTATTATATTAATTTTAATATAATTATATTATTTGTATTATATTATCTGTTATTATATAATTTTTTTTTATTTTTAAATTATTAATAATATATTATATTAAACTTCCAAAAGATTAAACTTCCCCTGGTTCACAAGTGACTTACTTAAAGCAATTCACAAGAAACACGCATATGAAAAAAACTTAGGATTGGCCTAGTTACAAAAGTAGTAGTTAAGGGTCCTCTGTTAGGTTAGGAGGGCCGGAAATTTTCATAAAATTTCAAAACGTCATGAAAAACTTTAATTGAAAGTTTCCTCTTATAACCTTTCCGAGTAAGCTGGAGGACTCAAACAGAAAATGGGACAGTACATCACTTTCGTGAGCCGATTTAATTTCAAATTACGTACGTTTTTGGCAATAGCGTGTATACGAGGAAAAAGCGACGTTATTTTTAAGAGGACGGGTTGGCAACAGACTTGGATATTGCAACTGAATTCAATAGCTATATTTCATCAGTTGGTGCTAACCTTGCCGGAAAAATCCCAGAGACCCAAACACATGTTACTACATATCTCACTGGCAGCTATCCTAGCTCTCACTCCTACTCTACTCGTTACAGTCAGTACAACAGACATTATATCCATAATTCAATCACTTAAAACCAAAACTGGGAACATTAATGAAATACCATCTATGATATATATAAGAGTGCTGCCCCTGCTCTTGCACTACCCATAGCTCTGCTATTCAACAAATCTCTAAATATTCTTAAAAAAGCAAGAGTAACACCAGTTCATAAACGAGGCAAGACAGCTGACATAAACAAATCCAGACCAATATCAAATCTACCTATACTTAAAAAAATATTTGAAAAAATTATTTACATATAGCTCTATTCCTACTTTGTAAAACTCGGCATATTAATTCCCTGCCAGTTTGGATTCCATTCCCAAAAGAATACCAATGATGCCATTATTAGTCTGCTGAATATTTATTTATATATATACAAGAAGGTACATTGGGTTTGTGAGAATACATTGGATAGTACAGTATTTACATTCTTGTAAAGCCACTAGTACGCGCAGCGTTTCGGGCAGGTCCTTAATCTAGCAGATAATTTTAAGTAGGTAATTTCTATCAGAATTGATAAATGATAAAGATACATTGCAAGAGAAAAATGAGATGAGAGAGCTTAGTAAGTACAGTATATTAAAGCACATTGTTATATTAAAGCTCTGATAACGTTGACAGTTTGATTAGTAATTTAAACAAGATTAATAGACACCATACAGCAGATTGACAGCACATATAAGACAGCAATGATCACAATGGTAAAGATGTTCAGATTGGGTACATAAAGATTGGGAGACTGGGTAGCAAAAGATACAGATAAACAAGATTTATAAACACCATACAGCAGATTGGCAGCACATATAAGAAGACAGCAATGATCACAATGGTAAAGATGTTCAAATTAATATAAATTACTTATAAATTACTACTAATATAAATTAATAATATTTAATTAATATTAAATTACTAAATATATTCATAAATTGATGAATATAAATTACACAGCCCTTGACAAAAATGAGTTCCCAATTACCCCTCTTCATTGATCTGAGAAAGGCCTTTGATACTGTAAACCATAACTACCTCTTACTATAAACTTCACCACTGTGGTATCTAAGGCCTTGCTTTTCTTTCACCTAATGTAATGACTGGATTATATTTGTTAATATCTCGGTGATGGACACTGATATGTAACCATTAATAGGATAACCTCCCCCACTCTACCATTGACAGTAGGGGTACCACAGGGCAGTATCTTGGGACCTCTCCTATTTCTTATATATACGTCCGTGATTTGCCAAATGTTTCTAACATTCCTAAACCTATACTATTTGCTGACCATACGACCTTCATCTATTCTGAACCCCCCCCTCCCCACACTAAATAATATTGTCAACAATGAATTAAAAAAGTCCACACATGAATGTAAACAAACAAACTCACACTAAACAGAAAAAACCACTACATATTATTTGATAGTCAATCATCAAATCAGATGCAACTTCAGGTAGACAATGTTAACATTAGCAATAAAGATGTGGGGGAAGTTCCTTGGCCAATACATAGACATGAGACTGAACTTCTGCAACCACATACAACATATTGGCCATAATCTCAAAAATGGTCGGTATACTGAATAAAATGAGATATTATGTTCCCCACTCTGCTCTCCTCTCATTGTACTATGCACTAACCTATCCCTATCTTTCATGTGGTATCTATGCATGTGGTTCAACCACTGCAAATTACCTCAAGCCCAAAATCAATTGGTAAAAATCTGCTATCAGAACTATAACAAATTCAAGTAGATAAATTACAGTAAATGTGACAAAAAATTTTTACAGGTACACTAAGAAATTTTGACACAAAAAAAAAGATTCGAGTAATACACAATAATACACAATTACAATACACTATAATGAACAAGGATTACTAGGTACATTAGGATAACATTTCAGGGTTATATTTTGGTTCACTGAGGCACAATTTGAGGATCATTTTAATGAATAATGCAGTAGAATATGCATTCAATATAACAACCATGATATCAGATGATATCTAAGATTACAATGGGAAAGTAATATGGCTTGGGTACAAATATTGGGGGATGGG